GAAATTTTGATGACAATTTTTTGAAGTTTGATTAATTTTTTTGCAATTTGTGCAATCTTTGCAACTTTTGTTATTGTGGTTTCTGATATAGATTGAATTATATTTTAAATGAAAATCATTAAAAATAAATAAATAAACATAATTTGCAAGCAATATCGTTTTGAATTTCGTTGCTAATTAGTTGCACGCATCTGTATATATATCATGATCCAGTGATCGGATCTTAACCAGATTAGTATGGGACCACCTCTGAGACACTACCTTTCCGATGCAAAAAGAATTATATAAGAAAAATCGGTTGACGTGGTCCAAAGTTATGCGGTAACATATATACAAAAAAAATTAAAAAAATAAAAAAATATTCCAACGAACTGATAACCTCCTTTTTTGGAAGTCGGTTAAAAACCAAGCTAATTGTACAATGTGTTTGAGTACTACCTGAACACATATACTCATCATTTGAACAAACAAAAAAGCAGAAAAGTCTGTCCTACGAAAGCCAAATCATGTTTTCGCATTTTATTTACTGCCTTTACACTCTTTTAACGTTTGCCATATTTTTACATCAAAATAATGCAATATTTTAGCTGCTATTAATTTCGCACAAAAAAAGTAATCATTTGACCTAATGTCCAATAACTCAATACAAAAATGTACAAATCTATACAAATGTACCAATCCAGTGCCACTGCCTTAGAAATTTGTACGAAAGTTTTTTTTTTTAATATTGCACATTTGTAAACTTGGATTTACACCGGTTTTGTTAAAGAATGAACTATCTATATATATAAAAATTGTGTGAAAAATGTATAGTAATTCAACAATTGAGAACGGTTGGGCTGATTTGGCTAAAATTTTGGGAAACCCCTCCGGGAACGTCGGAAAATTGGAAAAATCGAAAATTCTCAAATATTGCAAAAAACGCGATTTTTCGACACTTTCACCGCATCTTTCTCAAAATCTGGAGCTGATGGTAACTTTATTTATTTATTTATTTATTCATTTATTGACAGCCTTTAAAGGCCTATAACAAGTCTGAAAATTTACAATATTTGCTTACTATTTTATTTGGTACAATTTTGGGTTTATAGTTTTTATATTGATATATGCATACATTACATCACAGGATCACAATCATACATGAAAACAATATTCTTATTTCACTACATATTTTGTTCTTACACATTTTTTTGAGAGGACTATCCTAACATTTATCCTGTACAAATATATATACATTTAAACAAGGTAATTTTATTAATTATATTAAATTAAATTATAAGTGTGACCGTGGCTGTCGGAATGGACGGGATCCCGAGCAGCCCGAATGTTGGGTACTGTTTAGGTGGGCGGCCCGAAAGGACGAGTTCCAGAGCCGCACTTCCTGTACCATTGCTGTGGACTTTATTCCAAGTCGCAACTTCACTTCAGGCTTTGTGGTCATATGTAAAGGCTATAAAGTAATTTGTGATCAGTCGGAAAGTACTAGTTTCCGAGCCAATCTATCTTTAAATATTCCTGTTATACAAGTGGTCTGAAAGGATCTAGATCTTGAGCCGTACTGTAGGGCGAATGGAAAGGACTAGTTTCCATGCCGACCCTCTCTACTGGAAAGGATCTAGATCTTGAGCCGTACTGTAGGGCGAATGGAAAGGACTAGTTTCCATGCCGACCCTCTCTACTGGATCAAGCAGCAATCCTTTAAAATAAAATTTTTTATCATTTCATTC